ACCAGTGCCTGCTGTTGATGTTCTTGATGGTTTGCCTTACTGTAAATATTTTGCTGTAGATCTGTTAATTCCAGTCTGCTACTTCTGTTGAGGAAGAGGTTACATCTGGAGAGAGTGACTTCAGTAGTTTTGCTTTCCATGGCTGCTGGCAACTCTCTGCCTTTTGAGAATTTGACAGTATAGTGATCTAGCAGCCTCCTTTGTGTCCAGTCATGTGAGGACACTGGAAAATTTAGTTGTTCTGTGGAACATTAACAGTTTGTTTCTGAAACTAGCTTTAGTTACTCAGGTTTCAGATAAGGCTCCATTTTCCTAAAATGACCCTTGTTAGACAAATTACTGGCTTCTGGAGTTTAAACCTCTGAAGTGTACAATACAAGCTCAACTTCTAGTTGAGTGTACCTTAGGAGTATAGCAGGATTTTGCAGTTTCTTCATTTAAACATTTTAACATCTAGAAAACTCAAATCTCCTTTGAGATATAAAAGAATATGGCATATTTTTGTGCAGTAGTAAGTTGACTGGGATTTTTCATTGAAGAAAAGCATTTTCTCCCCATTTCAGTTTAATGTTACAGAGGGCTTGTTGCAGATAAAAAGTAACATGCTGTGAAGTATAGCATTTGGAATGCATATTCTGTAGATATGCTGCTAACCTTTCTGATTTTGAGCCAAAGAACTTTTCTAGTGAATCTAATGGGGATCTTCTGGCTTTCAGTTAAGATATAGTTGGCAGCTTTCAGCTGTTCTGTGAAATAAGAGACTTTTTTGTATATTGCAGCTCCATAAGATTTTAGGAGAGAAAGTGAATAACACTGCTGTGATTGAAAAGCAAGTTCTTGAGCTCTGGGACAGACTCTATCATTCATGGTTTGTGAAAGTGAGTAATTGATACCTAATGTTGATATGATTGAACAGTTTTACTGATTCAGGATAAGTGTTTTGAGAGAACCTAGCATGGCTTTGAATAAACAGAATGCAGACATACCTAATAATATATAACAAAAATACAGTCTCTCTATATAAAGGACTTGGAGGGCAACAGAAATAGCAGCACAGTGTATTGCTGTATTTTACTTGCTAAGAAACATGTTGTTTTTGAAAACCTTGTAATATTTCATAAGTAAAGTATTAAGGAAAAATTGAGCTTTCAAATGCACAAGTCAAAGTGTGGGTCCTTTACTAAATGGGGGAGGCAACCTAGTGACAGAGGATGCAGAAAAGCTTGAAGTACTCAATGCCTTTTTCATATCAGTCTTCACAGGCAAGATCAGCTTCCAGACTACTGCACCTGGCAGCAAAGTTTGGGGCAGAGGGGAGCAACCAACAGTGGCAAAAGAACAGGTTAGGGTCTCTTTAGAAAAGCTGGATGTGATGCACTCAAGGATGCTGAGGGAATTGGCAGAAATGAATGCAGAGCTTCTGGCTGTCATATATTTGAAAACTTATGGCAATTGGGAGTGGTCCCAGATAACTGGAGAAGGCAAATATAGTGCCCATCAGGAAAAATCATGAATCCAGGTCCTCAAGGAATCCATTTCTAAACACTGCAGGGAGAAGGTGATTAGTAGGGCTGTGCAAAGCTTCAGATAATGATTTGGATTCAGAGAAGATGTGGAGGCTGAACCTACAAATCTGAATCGAATCGCTGGAAACTTTAGGCTTTCTGAATAGCTTTGGAAAAGAATCGGAGCCATAGAGTACAATGGGGAATCAATGAAATATCTATAACTTTGTGGTCTTTTGGCTGATCTGGATGAAACTTGCAGGGATGGTAGCCCCTGCTGAGAGCATGACCCGTGCCAAGTGTCATGATGATAGATGCAGGGGATTCGGGGAAACTGCACCTCAAAGTCCTGAAAGCAAAACTCATGTCACATGTATGTGTTAAGCCACGGTGGGCTGAAAACTGCAGGAGTGGTTGCCCCTGATGAGGCCACAAAGCCTGCCAAGTTTCAAGGAGATAGGTGCAGGGTTTGGGGGAAACTGCACTTCAAGCTGTGGACAAGCAAAACTCGTGACATGGGTGACAGTGTGCATGTTAAGGCATAGCAGGGTGAAAGCTGCAGAGGTGGTAGCCCCTGCTGCTGCCACGATGCCTGCCAGCTGTCAAGGAGATAGGTGCAGGGGAGTTCTGGGGTCCTGCACCTCTGGCTGCTGACAGGCAAAACTTGTGACATTGGTGCTTTTGCCAACTGTGTCTGTGCTGGGGCAGGGGGGGACAGGGGGTGTCTTTGAAGCTACTGCAGACCTGGTTGCTAAGCTACTGTTACCAAACAATCATGATTCAGACCAGCTCAGTACACAGTAGCTAGCTAATTTAATGAGCAAGGATTAATACCTACAAAACCACAGACTAAGGAGAGGAAAGAATCGATACAAACCATCAACTGCCCTAAGACAGAGACAGTCAGTTGCACAAGCACTCATGTCATGAGTTTTGTCTGTCAGCAGCTATGGGTACAGGGCCCCAGAACCTCCCTGCACCTATCTCCTTAACAGCTGACAGACTTCGTGGCCTCAGCAGGGTCTAGCAGGCATGCAGCTTTCACCCTGTTGTGCCTTAATGCACAGAGTCACCCATGTCATGAGTTTTGCTTGTCTGCAGCTTGAGGTGCAGTTTCCTCCAAACCCCTGCACCTATCTTGTTGAAACTTGGCAGGCTTTGTGGCCTCTGCAGGGGCTACCATCCCTGCAGTTTTGACCCCACTGTGGCTTAACACAAACACATGACATAAGGTATTTGCACCCCTTGACCAGTGCCCCGCCCCCTGGTCATCATCTTGGGACTGAAAGTCTTACCCCCTTACCTTTTACCACCAGAAATCTCTCCCCTTGCCCCCAGAAGTATTCCTTTTGGAAAGGGGGTTTGCCATCTTGGAATACAAAAAAAACCAAATTATATACTAAAAATCAAACAATTGACAATAGCATATTTAAATTTTATTAAAAAAAAAATTGTCCTGATTTGTACGTGTTTTTTTTATATAGAGGTGATTGCATAATAGCTCAAAAATGAAGTCTTATTCTTGAATATTGTGGAGGGGTTGTGGGGGGTAAGGGTGGATGGGTATGGTGTTTGTGGGGGGGATGTAGGTGTATGTGTGGCTGTGTCTGTATGTGAGAGAGATGGGTGGGTATGGGAGGTTTATGAGAGTGTGTTTATGGGGTTTGTGGGAGACTAGGGTGTGGAGGGGAGGGTGGTTGGGGGTGTGCGTGGGGGGGATGTGGGTGCATGTGGTGGCAGGTGTGCATGTAGCAGTGCACAGGGCTTCCCCAGAGGCATTCAAGTGTGTGTGGGTGGGGGGGTATAGATAGGTGCAGTGTTTGTGGGGGGTGTGGCTGTGGAGGTGGGTGTGGTTATGGGGT